GGGTTTAGGTTTTAGGGCTTAGGTGTTAGGGTTTAGGTGTTAGGGTTTAGGGTTTAGGGTTTAGGGTTTAGGGGTTTAGGGGTTTAGGGTTTAGGGTTTTGGGTTTAGGGTTTAGGGTTAAGTGTGATGGGCGCAGAGGTCTCAAGAGATAGAGTTCAGGTTTAGGGTTTTATATGATTTAGGGATGGTTGGGTTTGGGGTTATGTGCTTGAGGGTTCATGGATATGTGACGGTACGTGTCAGCAACCCGGTGATAAGTAGTGTAAATGTCATTTTGAGTAGTTGTAACCCCAGTTCATCCAGCTCCCTTATTCTATATCCGCCGTCAAGAAGCTGTGTTTTTGTTCATTCGTTCCAGGCTTCGGGATTATATGATCCCTAAGGAAGGTGATTGCCGCCGTCTTTGAGGCTGACGCAGACACGCTGGAGCTGTCTCTCGTATGTTCGCGCGATACTTTTTGCCAGCGTTTCACCGTTGTAATCTGCAGTGATCGTGCCTTGAAGGGTTGGAAGATGAACCGCAAAGGCCCAATCCTTAGATTTATAATTATAGGGTCTAGGGTTTAGGGTTTAGGGACCCAAGTTAAGGATGAGCTTTGGCCACAAGCAAGCTCCATATACTTTTTAAAAGTTTTTCCCGCTCTCTCTCTCTCTCTCTTTCTCTGATACATGTGTATATATACATATATTTAAATCATGGGCATATACATATACAATATCAATAACACTAATGAGAAGCATCGTACAGTAGCAGTAACAGTAACAGAGCTAGTTCTAGCTTTGGTTCTAGCACGGGTACGAGTACTAGTAACTAGTACTACTAGTACTAAAGCTAATAGTGAGAAGAACTATATTAACTGTTTTTGTTGTTATCATTACTCTGAGTAATAATATCATTATATCAGCAGGGACTTTCATGGGCCCTAAACCCTAAACCCTAAACCCGTTCTTTCTTCCGGATTGCTTTGCATGCTTCCTCGCAGGCACGGAGGCTCTATGGACTTCCCGGAAACCCCTAGCACTCCTTAGTTCCACTGCCAAAACCCCTAAACCCTAAACCCCTAAACCCTAAACCCTAAACCCAACTATTTTCACACTAATCAGTTGGAATCCTTCAGACTAGTCTGGAAATCAGAGTTGTTTTGTTCTCTTTTTTCGTATGTATATATATATATATGTGTGTGTGTGTGTGTGTGTTTGCATATGTAGCTGGAGGGTACATACGTTTAACTACATGTACAGATTTACATAAACAAATGCACACAAGATTCCCCCTAAACCCTAAACCCGAGAGAACCCAGAACCCCCTAAACCCTAAACCCGAGAGAACCCGCGAGAACCCCTAGCGCGCGTGTTCCCTAAGGTTCTATTTAGGGTTTAGGGTTTAGGGTTTAGGTAGTATTATTAGGGGTACCCCTTAAAGGGTACCCCTTCTGTACCCTGCTTTTGGCTCTCTTAAAAGGGACCTTATTAAGAGGGTCTATATCCCAAGGATCCCCCTAATCCTAGCTCCCACTGTCAGAGTTGCGAGATAGTCTGAGGTTTTAGGGTTTTAGGGTTTTAGGGTTTTAGGGTTTTAGGGTAGTAGGGTTTCAGGGGTTTAGGGTTTTAGGGTTTTAGGGTTGTAGGGTTTTAGGGTTTAGGGCTGTAGGGTTTTAGCGTTTAGGGCTTAGGTTTAGGGCTTAGGGTTTAGGCGCTTGATGACAATACATTCCTAAAAACCCGCGACAGGGAGATGCCGGAAAGGGAGCATCTCTAGAAAGCCCGACAAGAATAAACGATAAAACCAAAGCACCCTTGAACAAACCCTTGTTAAGACACCCTGTAAAGCAGCTCGCACTCGTAACCCTGTAAAGGCAGCCCTTCTATGACCCTTACAACACCCCTTATCAAAACACTTCTTAAACAACTCGTACACCTGTACTAACTAAGCCTCACACCCTTGAACCTAAACCCTTAACCCTAAACCCTACACCCTAAACCCCACAAGTGACCTTGAAAACAAGAAAGGTCCTACTACAACCCTTGTAACAGCCCTTCTTTAAACACACTAAAGAGCAGCTTGTATACAACTAATGCCTAAGCCCCAAACCCCAAACCCGACAAACGGCCCTTAAAAGCAACAAAAGGCCTTAATATATAAACCCTAAACCCTAAACCCTAAACCCTATTCAAATTATGAAGGCCCCTACATACTGCAGGACCACGGGGATCCCGAGGTTCGCGCCTTGGCGAAGCGCCTGAGGCGCCCTGGCGTCCTCGGAGATCCCGTTGGGATCATTTTTGGGGCTTCGGAGTTTTAGCGTTTAGGGTTTAGGGTTTTGGCTTTAGGGTTGCGTGAGACCCCATCTTCATAATTGATCACTGAGGGTCTGGGGTGCGCGCCAAGAACGGGCATTGCCCCAACGAACGGAGAAGCAGTCATCTGCGCAAGGCCTGCTAGGAACGTTGGCATTCGAATCCAAGTTTCGAAGCTCGTAGCCCCAAGCACCTGCTCAAAGGGGCCTTTTCAGATCCATGCCTATTTCTGTCTTCTCACCTGGGCAGGCGTACCTGGAAGGACTTGATCGCCACGGCTGCGGGCGAGGTGGCCTGGGAGTTTTGCGGGTGCAGGAAAGTCGGGTTCCGGGTGCGCAGGGCTGTAGATCTTCACCAGTCTTGGGTACGAGTTCTTACAGGTCTCTAGGGCGAGTCGGAGGCTGTGCCGTGTCCTTCATTTATAAGAAGGGCTCGGCGCACTAGAAGCAAGCTTGGACTCTTGGGTCTTGTTGCTACTTGCTGCAGTGGTTCTGGCGTACCATTGCAGCTGCACATTGGCGTGTAGGGGCCTTGCTAATTAGAAGCTGATTTGGGATACATAAGCACTCGCAGTCTTGCCTTTCCTGGGACGCAAGGGTGGCGCAAGTTGGGAACGCTGATGCTCCGTGTAATGATGTGCCATCGGCTTTCTCGCCACTGATGTAGTGGGTGCTGTTATAACAGAAACCCTAGTGACGGGACCTTGGCCCGCAGAACATCCCATAGCTGAGCGATCACATCAATTATGCTGAGAGCCTGACATCTTGTCCCAAGAACAGACATGTTACAGAAGTCCACGGAAACCCTCAACCGAAGTCCCAAACTCTCCTCAAACTTTCGACTAACAGTGCCAGCACTGTACAGGCTGCCGCAGCAATGCCACCAGCGCCGCCACCGCCGGAGACGGAGGAACTCACTTCGAGACCCGGGACACTATAGGGGCTACGTAACTAGAATTCAAATTAGGTTTTGATCGTGTGAACGTTCATAACGTTTCGGTTTTTGGGGTATATTGTACTAGAACGAGAACCGGGACCATTCTCGCAGATTGTTGCTAGTAGTTCTCGTTGAGTGGTTATTCTTTCTTCGGTCCTTGTTGGTACCTGCTGGTAACCCTTGAGCCGTTCTCTGGCATCACTGCAAGCATGGCAAGGTACATGTCTCGTTTTACTTGCCAGGCGTTCAGCTTGGGACATCTTGGCACCACAGTCTCCCAAACCCCCTTCAGCCCTAAATCCTCAGTCCTAAACCCGAAGCCCAATCCAAAGCCCAAACACTAAACCCTTAAACCCTGAACCCTAAACCCTAAACCCTTAAACCCTAAACCCTAAACCTCAAAGAGCCACTACAAAACTTCAGACCAGGCGGCAGCGGCAGCAAGCGCGGTGCTTTCGAGGGAGCCTCACCACGGCATGGCCCCTCGCCACGAAGAAACGCTGGATTTGGTGGGTTTAGGGTTTAGGGGTTTGGGGTTTAGGGCTTTGAGGGGTTCTTTCAAGGGAGGGTGCTATAAGGGGTCACTTTAAGCGCTACTGTAAGGGTGTTGTACATAAAGGGGCCTTGATTAGAATAGGATTTTGGGATATATTAATTATTGGAGAGTCCTATAGGGACTGCAAGGGCTTGTTGCAAGGTGTAAGGTTAGCTGAAAACGCATCCCTGCAAGATTCTGGCTCCGCAGTTGTAGTCTTTTGGCGGATGCAGAACAATCTGGGTTTGTTTATAGGGTTGAGGTTTGCGGCTTGGATTCAGAATTCTGGGCCTTAGGGCTTTCGGCTCAGATTTCAGTCCGCTAAGACCACTGTGTGTTGGGGCCCGGGAGACTAGCAGTGCCCACCTGAACAGTTGTTCCTTTGACTAGAAGTTCCTCTTAAGCTTCGCGAAGCTTTTCGATTTTAGGTTCAACGGTTTAAGCTCCAGGCACAAAGCTTTGTAGCTCTGTTCCCTGGAACTCCCCGAAAACGCTGAACGCCCTCAGCTGTGGGAGGCGCCTCTGATGCCGGGCCTGGAGCAGGAGGCAGAAGAGCTCCTGCAAGAGCTGGAGGACTCCCGGGTGTCTCCACTTGGAGGATCATCAGACTTAGTAACTAGGGTTATAAATAAGGTAAGTATACTTATAAGTAATTATAACCCTAATTAAGGTAGTTATAACCTTACTTACTAAGTCCCATGATCCTCCAAGCATAGAACCAGAGAAGATGCTGTAGGTCCCAGAAATCCAAAGACAGTGGCTTCGGGGGTTCGAGGCTTGCCGAATGCCTCAAATCTCTAGGTTCCAGAATCTGCAAGAAAAGCGAGAGTTATGTTTCTGATGGTAAACGCAGTCAATCGGTTCTGTGTTCGTTTGGCACACATCAGGATACCAACAGTGGCACTTCGTGTTGCTGCTTACCACTGTCGCTCTTCAGTGTTCCTGGTAGTGCGGCAGGTCTTACTCTTGCAAGTAGACATGTTGTGCGGCGAGGTCTTATTGACCCTTCTTGTTATTACTCGATTGGTCTAGTTGCCGACACAAATACACCCCTCAAATTCCTTCTCTGCATATTCAAGTTGACATCTCCAAACCCTTAGCCGGTCCGAAATCCCGAACCCTGGAACCCAGAACGCCAGCGTGTTCTTTAAGGTCCTTCGCGGTTCCCCCCACTTCAAATCGTAATCGCAGCCGCATTGACCGGACCAAGGCCAAAGGTCTTTAGCACAAACAAAGTGGTTCCCGCTGAACAGGACATGTTTTAAACTGACGATCTTGATGATGCCGCTGATAGCAATGACGGGGCTGCTCTCGTTCCCACTGTATCTGGCAGCTGCAGCTGCTATTGCTACGCCAAGTGCTGCCTACTGCTACGCAGCTACTGCGACTGCTACTTGTAATGCTACTTGTACTACTTTTTTTCAACTACGACTACGACAACAACAACAACAACTACTACTACTACTACTGCTGCTGCTACTACTACTACTACTACTACTACTACTACTACTTCTCATGCTGCGTCGGCCAGTGGAGCGTCATCCAACAATTTCATGGTGGCTGTGCAAGTGGACTCGGATTCTGAGTCACAAGTGGAGGAGGTAAATGGTTCGTGCATCAATGCCGATTCTTCGCGAATGTCAGGAAATGCTTCTTCGTTCTTCGACGAGATGGACTAGGGTGGATGTTCGAGTAGTAGCCTAGCTTATGGGTTGTGCGGAATCTCGCACAGCTGCCACAGAGCAGCCGGACCTGAAGGTCTGACCTCCTCGTCATGCACCCGGATCGTGCGACGCTGGATGATGATACTACTACTACTACTTCTTCGACGACGACTACTGTGCTACTGCTACGACGACCACTACTACTACCACTGCCACTGCCAGTACTCCAACTGTTGCTGCTGCTGCGGCTGCCACTCGTCCTCCTTCTCGTGCTGTTGCTGCTCCAAGCCTCGTCCCACTGCTGATGGACAAGGTCCGGCACTATCCAGAACCAGCGCTATACCACAATTCCATAGTTTTTGATGGTGCCTCAGGTAATGCAGTACCACTGATAACCAACAAGTTTTTCTATATTGTAGGATACTTGTTTTTTTAGAAGTTCCAGTGCTACGGCTAGCTCCAGGAAGCCACCTCGCCAGAGCGCCGTGCTAGCGGCGGAGTGCGAACGGCCAAGGCTTCGTGGTGTGGTTTACGGTCAGGGTTTCGGGGTCTAGGGTTTTAGGGTTTGGGGTTTAGGCATTAGGGCGATTAGGGGTTGAGGGTTCGGTGTTCAAGGCTTAGAGGTTTACAGGGCTTTAAGGCTTGATACTGGGTGTTTCGGGTTAAGGGTTCAGGGTACGCTGCAAGTGCCTGTCACAAGCCCAGCGAGAAGTAACATTCACAACAGACGTGGGCAGAAGATCATGCGCGCCGGGCGCAAGGACTGTCAACAATTCACCCTCGTGGCGCTTCCACAGGATGGTCCTTGGGTTCTCCATCGCAGTACTATAGAAGCCTAAATAGTTACCAATAATATTTTGTGGGTTCTTTTTAATAGCTATACTAAACAGGAGCCCAAAGCCCTGTTCTAATTATTAAGGCCCTACAAACGTGTGGCTGGAATCCATGTAATCGCAATGCTGGCAGTAGCTAAGGGGTCGAAGTAGTAGGTGTCGTTGCTTTGATGGTAGCTGATATCAGCTATACTATACCATATACTTTACCGTCTATTACAATATATATATATATGGATATATATATATATATATCTATTATACCATATTTTCTACTAGATTCTACTGTATGCTACTATATTATATATGTTGAAGCATCGATGGAAAGTGTAAGTGTAGCCAGCTCCACGCAGTCGGAGTAAACGCAGCATGCTTCGACTTATCTAGTCATACGGTTGATGATCTAAATCCTGCATGACCCATAATCAGGAACATACCCTAATTCCCATTTTTAGGGTTCTTAAGGTAATGCAGAGTTCATATCATCAACAATAGACCTCCGGGTTCCCCCAATGTATATGCAGTTTATTGTATAAAGTCGTCTAATTATTCAGGCCTGTATATACAAACCCCATGCGACCTTAAAAAGGCACGATAAACCTCATATGACTCAGATAGACTTGCACCACCCTTAAAGCCAAACCCTAGACCCTAAAACCCCAAAGCCTTCAAGCCCTGAACCCTAAGCCCTAAAGGCCTAACCTAGCCCCTAAACCTTAAATCCCAAAAACCCCAAAGCCCAAACCCCAAATCCTAAAACCAAAAACCCCGAAGCACAAACCTCCAACCCTAAAGCCCTAAACCCTAAACCCTGGCCCTAAACCCCAAACCCCAAACCCCAAACCCTAAACCCTAAACCCTAAACCCTAAACCCTAAACCCCAACCCCCCAAACCCCAAACCCTAAACCCTAAACACCCTAAACCCTAAACCCTAAACCCTAAACCCTAAACCCTAAACCCTAAGCCAGGTCGGCGGCACAGACGATGCCGACGAGGTCTTCGGTCCCACCCCGCGGCACGAACCAAACGACCATGCGCCTTGGCCCGCTGCGTCAGGTTTAGATTTTAGGTTTAGGGTTTAGGGTTTAGGGTTCAGGGTTTAGGGTTTAGGGTTTAGGGTTTGAGCTGTGGGGTTTTGGGATTTGGGCATTGGGTTTTGGGCTTTGGCGTTTTGGGCTTTTAGGGTTTTGGGACTTGGGGTTTTGGGGTGTTGGGCCTTGGGGTTTGGGGTTTGGGGTTTGGGGCTTGCGGGTTTGAGATTTGGGGTTTAAGGTTTGGCGTTCAGGGTTTGAGGTTTCAGGGTGGGGTTTAAATTTGGGGTTTCAGGGGGAAGCCTGGCTCCCTGAAACCGTAGCCAACTACTAAGCACCTCGTGAGCAAGAACTAGACCCGCAAGCCCCGCACCTTGAAATTAGATACCCCTAAAGTTTGAATCATTAGTAGCCGCATCTCGTTATAGTCTCGGCAATATACCCCCATACCCCCAAGTCCTATCATTCTACTCGTCAAGGCCCCTATATTGCCCCGAACCGATCTCGGCTTCCGCGATTGCAGATTTGAAAGAGCCGTCAAACGAAGCAAACTACGCCCTGAAGCATACACTCGTAGCGCTTATGTCCCACAGACACCCTGAATGCCACACCCGAAACCCGATGCCTTGCACCCGAGGCCTTACATCCCGGACGCCCAAACCCAAGCCCTGAACCTGAACGACAAAGCCCTAAACCCAAAAACCCCTAAACCCCGCGCTGCCTTGCGTTGGCTGTCGACTTTCTGAGGTCGGTTCGCCCCATCGTCGCCCGCGCCCCAAAGCGGTGGCAAAAGCGTCTGCCGTGGCCGATGCTGACGAGGTCGGGTTTCGGGTGAATTTGGGGTTAACAGTAGGGTTTGGGGTCAGGGGCTCAGAGTTTTCTGGAGTTTTGCAGGTTCTGGAGTTTTGCGGGGTCTCGATGTGGCTCCTCTGCTTCTGAGCAGGTATGTGCCGATTCTTGGGGTTTGGAATGGTTTAACATAGGGGCCTTATTAAGTCGAATAGGGTTGTGGGGCCCATCATACTATAATCATAATAAGGAACCCCCAAACTAGTAGTGGAAACGAGTAATTATGGGTAACTGTTTAGGCCCCTACATTAGATGAAAAGCTCACGGAGATCAAGACTTATAGATCCAAGAGGCCAGTATTGATGCAATGCCCTTAACACTGAGAGGGTCGGACTTCTTAAAGGCGGCATGCCCATAATCTGAATTCTGCAGTCCTGAATAGTACATGTTGCAGTTCTTTGAGGGTTTTCGGGGTTTTGGGCCAAGTTCAGGGTGTAGTTTGATTAGCGAGTCATGTGGCATATGGCTTTAGAGCTTGAGGGGTTTTATAGGGTTGATCTTGATTCCTGTTTGCTGACGTTTGCTTCGGGTTGCAGGGTTTAGTCCTGGGCTTCTTAAGTTTGGGACTCTGAGTTTTGGGCTTCGGGTTTAGGGTTTAGGGTTCAAAAACTCCTTCGTTGACTGCCCATGACGAAGATCTGGAGATGTGGCAAGTCTAGAACCCCTAAATACTAGCATCATATCGACCCCCTCTTCCCCCGACCCACAGGAACATGTAGCAACTCCGTGATCTCCTTCCCTCCCTCAAGAGTGCAGCTGCATCCTCGGCACCCAGCGAACGGTGGGACTGCTTCAAAACCCTACAAACTCTGTGCTCTACGGGATCAGTTGCCCGCAGTCTCAAGGCGCCTTGAAGCCACCAAAGTCTCAATCCAGGGCCCCCAGCAGGACGACTTGACGACTCCTGCCTAGGAGGATGAGCGAAGATTTTCGGAGAACCTGGATCCTAAATCCTTAAACCTTGCGCCGCATCTTTGGTCAGGTGTTTGGGACAACGCCGCGACAGGACCGTTGGGGGACAAAAGGGAGGAACTATTAGCAAATAGAAGCATCAACATCATCAAGCCTTGCATGACGAAGCCCAGGCCTGCGCTACACTAAAGCGCAGGGTGAGCAAGTCGGTCGCAGAAAGACCTCGGAGCATTTTTCTTAGAAGGTCTGGTAAATGAACGAGAAACGGAGAATTCAGGGTTCAAAGGGCCTCAGCCTTTACGAGCCTGCATAGCATCACAGGACGCTTCCGGCTACCAGCACGCGGAGCAGCCTCCATCAGCATCCGTGCCTTCCGAAGCCAAGAAGCCCAAGTTTGCGGCCTTGCCGAAAATGCCAGTGCAGGCCAAGGCACCTGTGCAGCCAGCTCTGGGAGAACTGCCGGACCCTCTGAGCATGCCAGCGCAAACTTCGGTTTCAGTCGATGAGACGTGTGCAGCGCCACTGCCAGACATGTCAGCAGATAGCTCACAAGCAAACGAGAGACACGGGGTGCCGGCTGCTCTCAAATCAGCCCTTCCGCGGGCCCCCACAGCCTCAGAACCTTCAGCAGAGACCGCCGGCTATCAGGAAGTTTCCCGAGAAGCACCGGCAGCATTGAAAGCCCCGCTTCCAAAGGCTCCACTTCCGAAGGCGCCCGTGCCTGAAGTGCATCAGGCTGCAGCACCTGCCCCTCCAACGCCGCATGACCCTGCACAGGCTGCGGCGCCTGCACCGCCAACCCCCCATGACACTGCACGGGCTGCGCCCGCGCCTCCAACGCCGCACGACACTGCATGGGCCGCGGCTCCTGCACCGCCAACGCCCCACGACACTGCGCGCGCTGCAGCGCCTGCACCTCCGACACCGCACGACACTGCGTGCGCTGCAGCGCCTGCACCTCCCACACCGCACGATACCACACAAGCGATGTTCGAAGCCCCAGCCGTTGACTCCCACATGAAGGAGCAGACAGCTATGGCTCCAGTTCCGGACCCCACTCCTACCACCCCTGTCACTGCTGCCGCCCCTGCCCCGCCAACCGCGATGCCTGAAGCTCAGAAGCCAGCGCCGAGCGAGAAGCCCAAGTTTGCGCCGCTGCCGTCAGTGCCAAAGCTCCCTCCTAAGCCCGTGGCGCAGCCGCCCAAGCCAGCAGTGCCGGAGGCGCGAAAGCCCGTCGGGACAAGTTGATGGTTTACAGTCTAAGGGTCGAGGGTCTGGGACTCTTAGACTAGACTAGTACAGTCTTGCTTCGATTGCCGCCTTTTCCTGCTGGCTCCTGAGAGGATCTGCTCACCAAGTTACCTGCTCTTTGTCTGATCTGATTTCTCTATGTGAGGTCTCCTATGTAAGGTGTTCCTGTCATGTCTGTCAAGAGTGAAAACCCTAAACCCTAAACCTTAAACCCTAAACCCTAAACCCTAAACCCTAAACCCTAACCCTAAACCCTAAACCCTAAACCGCTAAGAGTGAAGGCCCGGTTGCCATGGCTGAGGGCTCTCGGACACAACTTTTCTTTGCGGTCATCAGGGTTTAGGGTTTAGGGTTTAGGGTGTCTTTTCTCATGAGACTTTTAAGTAAGTCGGCGAGCGGAACCTCCTCCGCAGGTGCTTGCACCCTGCACCTTTTCTCTCTGTCCTGGCGTGCAAAGACGGCCCATAGGGAAGGATGAGCTCTACTTCAGCGAAAAACCTCCTAAGCCGAGACATATTTACCCCATGACTCGAGCCACAAGAGCCAAACCCTACATGGCTCAGGGCATAGGAAAAACAGCCCAGGGAATTGGACGCTTTGGGTTTGCGGCTTCGAGTTCGGGGTTCCGGGGGGGCCTCGGGCGGTCGGGCTTCGACTCTTTCGAAAGGGGCCCAAAGAAGCCCCAAACCCAAAATGCGGCAGTCCCAAACCCTAAACCTGCAAGCCCTTGAAGCCTATAGTTCTAAGGCCTGCAAACCCACCGATATAAATTGAACGCTTCTAGAATCCCTATAAAGCCTTGAGAAAACCTCACGAATAATCTTTAAACCTGAAATCCTAGACTTAAAATCCTACATCCCAAACCCTACACCCTAAAGCCTAACTCTACCCAAAATCCTCATCCCTAGACCCTAAACCCTAAACCCGAAATCCTAAATCCCAAACCTTCCAACTAAAACATCCGAAGCCCTCTACTTAAAAGCCCCTAAACCCTAAGAGCCCTAAGAGCCTTAAAGAGAGGTGTATAAGGATCCCAGGGTTAAGGGCCCGAACTAGGGGCCCATGGTTTCAACCTCAGAAGATCCGAAGCTTTCGATTTCGAGGCGTCCGAGGAGTCCTCGGAGGATGAGTTGATCCCAGCGACTCCGCAGGGCCCTCCGGAGGAGGTGGCAGCTCCGCAGCCGCCCCTGCCCAAAGGCCAGGGTTTAGGGTTTAGGGTTTAGGGTGGAGGGTTTGGGGGGTTTAGGGTTTTGGGGCGGCAAAGGGGCTCTTTCGGCTTTCGGGTTTGAGGTTGGGGCTTTCTTGACTTTGCTGCGGTGTTTTTGTTGGGGGTGGTGGTTCAGGGTAAGTTCTATTGTTCGGGGCTTGAGTTTTGACCCATTTAGGATTTAGGGTTTAGGGTTTAGGGCGTAAACTGTAACTCCCGCAGAGTAGGAGGTTTCGAAGACGGGTCTGGCACAGATGAAGAGGTAGTTGCAAAATGATCTACCATACTGCCGGCGGCAATACCGGCGATTTGCAATACCAGTAGTAGTAGCGACGAAAGTCGCAATGACATAGAGGAGGTTTGATGAAGGAGGCACCCGGAGAACCAAATACTATTCAATTAAGGAATAGACCGTAAACTATAGGGGCCCTAATATTATGATTTAAGGTATATTCCTTAATTAAGGAGTATTCCTCTGGGCAACTGACAAGATCGAAAGACTGGAGCTCCTGGAGATGCTGCGTTAAGATGCAATTGAGCTAGAACGGTTTGGGGTTTCGGGCTTGGGGTTTAGGGCCTATAGGGCCTATAGGGTTTAGGGTTTAGGGCTTGGGTTTAGGGTTTAGGGCTTATAGCCCCCCGGGAGAATCCAGAAAGCCTTGAATCTGGGGGCCCGGCTGAAGACGCCTTGCGAGTTTCCGTTTGAGGAGCCGGGGCTGTTGGTTTTGGGCATCCTAAGGGAGACGGTGAAGCTTAAACATCAGGGGGACACTTCTTGTCACCTCTCTACAGGCCATTGCCTTAGTTAGTTGCATGTAAGTTCGAGCTAGGGTTAAGGGCGTCAAGATGAAGACGACGTGGAGGGTCGGAACGGGCAAACTTTCGGCAAGGCATAGTACAGCAACGCAAGTCTTGACCAACTTTGTCCAGGACCGATGCCTTCCGCCGGCTATCCCAAGAAAGCAGCACCACCTCAAGCGTGGCGGCCCCAATCGTCCTTGTCCTCGCCAATCGGTACTCTTCGAACATTTTTGTGGTTGTCAACTAGTGCTTTGTCTCTGCTTCTTTTTCTTGCGACGGTTGCTGCAAAGACACTCAGCTTGCTAAGCATCCTATTCTTGTTTCTTTTTTTCAGAGTAGTGCTCTGGTCGGAAGGCTACAATGCCAGAACTTCATGTTGGAATTGTGCTCGCCAGATAGCAGGGCCTTCTGCATCGTATGCAGCGAAAGTGCCCAGAGTGATGCAGCATTAGGGCGACTGATTGCGGTTGCGGCTGCGACTGCGGTTGCGACCACGACGTAGTAGTAGTGTAGTAGCAGTAGTAATAGTAGTTGTAGTAGTAGTAGTAGTTGTTGTTGCTGTTGTCGTAGTGGTAGTCGCAGTAGTCGTCGTCGTAGTAGTAGGCGCCCCCCCCCCACCAACTACCTCTCCTAAACGCTGTTCGAGAGCACATCCTTGTTACTGAATATTCACAGTACTTTCGTGATGTCGTAGACCACCGCTGTCGAGGGGCGGGGGGATGGGTGTGGGGTGCGGGGGCATGATGATGAACTTTTCAGAGCACATCCATGCTACTCGGACGATGATGATGATGGGTTTAGGCGGCAGGTAGTTGGCAGGGTGGGGGGTGGTGGCTAGTCGTAGTAGTAGCAGTAGTAGTAGTAGTAGTAGTAGTCGTAGTAGTAGTAGTAGTAGTAGTAGTAGTAGTAGCAGCAGCAGGAGTAGTAGTAGTAGCAGTAGCAGTAGCAGTAGTAGTAGTGGTAGTCGTAGTAGTAGTAGTAGTAGTAGTAGTAGTAGTATTAGTACTAGTACTGGTAGTGGTAGTGGTAGTAGTAGTAGTCGTAGTCGTAGTAGTAGTAGTAGTAGTAGTAGTAGTAGTAGTAGTGGTAGTGGTAGTGGTAGTGGTAGTAGTAGTAGTGGTCGTAGTAGTAGCAATA